TCAAGCAAGGAATGAAAATGAGAAATAATTATTTTTTGATAACTTAAATCATAGTGTAAAGGATTAATAAATCTTTTGGTTCATTTATTCTCAAATGCATTTTGTTGTACTTTTTAAACTCACTGTTTTGAATAGAGAAGTGGCATTTTAAGTTTGGTCACGAACTGACTTCAGTTAGAGAAGCATTGATAACTACTGAGTGCTGGAAATCCCTTTCGCCCTGGTTTGAGACTCTTCAGCCGCACGCACCTATGATCTCATCGATAATCAGACCGAGGACATACAGATTACTAGAACATCTCGTTGACCATTCAACCAGTGGGATGGAATCTCATTGGTGATTTGCAGTAATCACCACATAATAAACCAGAAGACATTTGTGCAAATAACACAGTTCTGTACTAAGCCTTTTTTAAGCTTTACCATATTAAATACATCTGATACAAGTGATCAATACTAGTCATAAAAACATTATGACATTGGTGACATTCAAATCTTCGAATTAAATTAGAATCTTATAAAATCAAAAGCTGCGTAATTCTAGTGGACTAAGTGACGGATAATCAAAAATTGAAACGTCACTAATAGATATATGACAGGAAAAAGTAATTAAGAAGGCGTGAAACGTTTTTAGAAAATATGAATGCGTTTATTAAGTCTACTAAGGAGTGATAGTCGGTTGGATGAAAGTAATAAGCGACAACTGGAAGCCTGCGGAGTTCTTCAAGTCACCCTTTTGCAAATCTTGAAATAAAGATTGAGTAGCTATTTCATCAAACAGTCAGAATTTCATGAGAGAATGAAATCCATTAACGATGACTGACCTCAATTCACTGCATACGTTTCTCCATTTTTCAGCTGAGAAAATAGTTGGCTTAATTCATTCAATTGAGAGTACTATCGATACATTCTAATTTTCAAGAGTTGATTTGTGAGGATTAGATTTGTTTTCACAGGACGGAGTTTCCTGGAGTTCTAATCAAAAGTCGTGACCACTGAGGCGCAGTCAGTCAAGTGTGAGGATGCATTTCCCACCGACGACATTGGTTGGTGCCAGTTGCGCTAAATCACGAATTGATAGAAGTTAGAATTCATCCACTGGCCATTGAATCGGGCCCCAGTGGCTGAATGGTATACGAGCTAGCCTTGTAACCGGAAGGTCCTAGTTTCGAACACCGTTGGTGGGTGAGTACTGACGAAGATTCCCAAAAGAAATAGGATGAAACAGCTGTCCAGTACTCCCTGGTTTTCAATGGTCCTCTAACTGATCAAACTTGTAAGAACGCTCTAATTTGTTTCCTTTCAGATCATTGAGAGGAATCCTACTATCTTACTATGATTCTACGTGAATAGGTGGGAAATCGAATTTGATGAGTACAGCGTTTGCACTGTCAAGTTGTTGTCACAACCATTAGCTATTCTTAATTTCATTTTGACTGATAAAAATATGAATACTAATACATTTCTATTATTTTAATAACTGCCATTGTCTGTATAATTCACATCGACTATCAATTATACAGAAATTACTCCCACTGGTTAAGAGTGAATGTATATTTCAAGCTTTTATTTTGGTTGAGGGTGAGTAGCAGTGGAATGCAAGATGCGTATTCTCACTTTGCCCCTGGAACCCTGCATCTGTCGTCTGAAACACCAGAGTTACGTAAACTAGGACATCAAGCCACGAGAGGTACCTCCTGTGCACCAAGCATCAGTTACTATTTGTTCTTAGGTTAATTTCTATTTCCTGTTGGTTGATTACGTTGAAACGAAATGCTTTGTCTTTGTTGAGGGATCTAGTGAAACAATACAGAAGATTTGTGGCTCAGTGAGGTGTTTCATCTTTTATCCACAAGCTGATATATATATATATATATGAATCCCGAATCTCACTTCCCCAATGGGATCTAAATCAAAAGCCAATAAGTTCAAATTGTACAGCAGTATTCATTAGGCCACTGACCAGGAAGAACAATTTTTAAACCAGTAATTAATCAATTTAATAAAAGTGGTTTATTCGAAACAATGAGTATTCTAATATGCCTGATAAACGTCTAATGTTTTTGTTTATATTTAATATTATTTCGATGATGAACGAAATTATTTCCCTGCATTTCAGGACCTACATAAGATTCACTATGAAACTGGAGTGGGATTCATGCAGCATAAGGAATAAAATCTATGAAATTTCTAATAGTCAAACCAAAGAATGTCAGAAAGTCATACGCTAACCCGATTGTAACACTTAGTAACATTATTGAACGAACCCTAGAATGGCCATCAACTCTGCACACCAAGTTTGTTGACTAAGAAAAGCCTACAGTAGCGTTGATCAACTCTAAACAGTGCCCCTAACCCTTACAAGCATCAATCAACAGCTATATGAAGATGACACATGCCATACCAGAAACCTCACTGAACCAACTGAAATAAGGATACCAGTAAGATACGTCTGTCCCTACAACATAATAATTCTTTTGGATGGTTGATTATTTTACACCAGGTTCATGGTCATTAACTATGTTGTGTAACTGTTGTTTATCCTGGTGTCGTAGAACAGAGGTATTTCAGCTTTGAGGTCTGATGATTAGGAAATGGTGTAGGTGGTGTTGAGGTAGTAGTTAAAAAGAAGGACAAGGCTATTGACTGCACTGTCTAATACAGAACACCCATGGATCATGCCTTTATAAACCAAGGAGACAAGGAACTTGTTAACTCATCTTCGTTTTAACCACTTCACTACCAACGATCAGTCTGGCTATCTAAATTGATGAAGTTCACTGAAGACATGCTGAGGGAAACTAGATTTTCGAGGGACAAGAGTGTAGTTGCAGCACCGTGCTATGAAAGTGTCTACATATTCCTTCAGTACTACAGTAAAATGAATATATACTTGAACACTCGTGAGTATTACATCCACCCTTGATTAATTCGGTAACTTGGATACCAAATGAAGGTCTTACACGCTAAAGTTTCGACCAGTCATCCTTTTCGAAATGATGGTTTGGAAGGATAGGCAAGTGTAGAAGTCATGAGCAGTATGTTCAGCTTAGACGAAAAGAAACAAGAGTTGGAAGCCAAACAAGCAGTATAATTTATTGGACTTCTAGAAAGCCATGGTTGGGCAAAACAGCATGGATTTATCGTAGTGTGCTCTGACTCTCATTTTTAAACTACTGTACTATTCAACTTGAATGTCCGTCAAGATAATTCTCACAATTCGGAACTTATTTTTCTATAATAATATCGGCTGTGCTACAATATCTAACAAATCGATTCTGACCCACAAGTAAAACCATGGTAGTTAAAATTGTCTCAGCAGAACGATAACTTTCCGTTAGTAGTCTCTTTCGAAACATTTCTGCCACGTAAAATGTGGTAATTCATCGTTACATAAGTACTCGGAATACATCTTGAAGACCTTCACAATGATATTTTTCTCTTTTCTAGTGATATTTTGAAGGAAATCCGATATAATATCAGCAAATGAAACTAAACACTTATGTTCCTTTGGGAATAAAGACTTGAAACGTTATTCATTTGGATATTTACAGTATTGCAAGTAAGCACAAACTGATGATGTAATTAAGATTATCTGATGTCGGGAGCATGTGTACATACTTTCTGCAAACCAAAGCCAGTATTTTATTTAGAGGTACTATCCAGCCTTGTCGGTGGCATAGCGGTTAGGACGCTCGCCGACCATGCACATGGTCCGGGCTTCGATCCCCGGTCGACGCACTCCTTTACCTCGCTAAGCCAGAAATAATGCTGGTGAAGAGGAAAGGTTGGGCATGAGGCTAGCAACCCCATTCTGTAAAATAAACACTGCTACAGAAACTTCAAGCCGCTAGCTTGAAGCCCTATGTTCCACTGGAGAACGTGAGGGAAGAAAAAAATCCAGCCTTAAATGTACTGCGTAATGTCTTAACATCTGACTTTCTTCCCTTAATGTTTAATCGGTGATCCGGAAACTTTGTGACTTTGTGCCTCTCCAAAACAAAGTTTCATTAAAGAAAAAGCAAGAAACTTATAAAATACTAAGTATTAAGTTAGATGAACCTTTACTGCGAGCCCAGACCAATCATTTACGAACAGTTAAACTTGAGCAGGATTTGAGAATATCTACAGAAACACTGAAAATCCACACTGTGGAATTCGGACGAATATCACCACATAAAAGCCTGGATTTGTAGTGCTGGATTCTTACAGCTGAGGCAGTAGGTGCTTTGATATTTCCGTCATTTCACTACATAGGTTCCCTCTCCCTTTTTTGACCGTTTTGCTATCTTGAGTGTCAACCACTCTTATTTACAAGAGCATTTTTGAGTGAAAATATCTTGTGTATAGTATTGCTAGCAATTTGTGGGGCTTTTCCTGATAACTTTGAGCAGCTACCAGACTCTGGGGCCCAAATTTGAAATATGTGTTAATAAAACGCCTTCCACTTATCTGGCGATTACCAGCGTGTAGCCATTAAGAAAGGTGAAATCATTCACTTGCACGCATCTACAAACGCGTATTTATTCATAACCATCAAACTTGTACACTACATTGTTTGTGTAGAACACTTTAAACCACCTACGAAGGTGGTATTCTTACCTTGTGCAGGACATGACTACTTTACAAAAGCTGGAGCGAGAATAGCACGCAACATACAATAGTTATCGATGGTTAGTTCTGAAGGTAACTTGATATGTTGACGCCAAAGTCGCCTGATTTAGGATACAAAATTTATACCTACAGGGACACCAGCTTAGCCTTTCTCGAAGTGAGGTAAAAATGAATTAGTCATTTGAACTTTCAGATTTGTCATCCTGTAGATTTGTCAGATAAGCATAGAATTTCATACGCACACATATTGCAAAACGATAATAATGAGGGAAACAGAGTCAAATATTTGACTGCATAAACCAGATGCATCATTAAAACATGTTACAAGAATGCAAGTAAATCAAATAGACATGAAATACTACGTGACAAAATTATTTAGGACTCACTCAGCTTGAATGGCGATTTCACTCACATTCGGAACAGTACAGCTTGACCTTTCGATTTGTGCAGCTCGGAAACCTGAACTAGACATGACAGCAGCAAAGTCTGTGAATCACTGTTCTTAAATCAGTTGAACAGACAATGGTTTTACAGACCAATAACAAGTGTTCGCTCAAGGTCGTAAAAATACTTACAAAAATAATGTTTGTATGGTAAATTAACAAAACATTTTTAATAAAAAAGACAAAATATCATTTTCCACGATATCTTGAACTATATGTTTGTTTTACTGCATCAATTGCTTTACTCTTGTTACTAGGACAAATACAAATATCAGCTGATTACAGCAATAGGTAACTATATGGCTTCTTGAGTGAATTCCAAAAACTTTGTATGCTTTTAAATGGAAGTTGTGCCACGATTTGAGTATGAGGTTGTTATACCACCAGAAGGGGGATGCGTTTCACTGCAATCTAATGTTTATCAATCACTAAATAAATGTCCACAATATACTGATAATCATTTTACTGAGTGCTATATTGAAAGTAGTGCACTGCACGACGAAGATTCACATACTACGCAAAAAGTATTCGGTGGAGGTGAAAAAACAAACCAGTGTCTTGTGAACGAAGATGTAGTATTTTCTGGATTTCCCCCTGCATATCGAGCCCATTTACAAAGTTTTGATCATATGCGAGGGTGCAGTACAAGTTTCCATTATCACTGTCTTCCTATTCAACTGAAGTTCCTCCATTCAATGCAAAATTATACAATTCTAAGGCAGATTGGTCTTGGACAGTTTAGTAGCGTTTTCAGAGCAGTGTGCAACCAGCCCTATGGTCTAAATGTAGCCTTGAAAGTGATAAAGGTACGTAGTTTAAGCATCATCACTCGTTATTTTAGAACGGATGTTATAGCTTTTTGTTTTGATTAGTTTTTTCATAGCACTCGCTTACGTGAAAGTTTTCCTTATTGAGGAGCACTAGTTTAGTGTAGTTTTTGGCACATGTGAAACTTATTTCTCAAATCTTATTTAGCAAAGATTTATTGTCATGTCTCGCAACAGGTTTTTTTCTATTTTGATCATGTTCTTTCATGTCTAACTGCTATATTTCGTAGTCAGGAATTAAAGTCTCATTGTTTATATTGGGTTATTGCACTTTTAAACTATTTTCGACTTTAGGTAGTGTTGCTGGCAGTTAGCTATATGTATAAAAATTGCACATTTCGAGTACGCAGTGCGCCAACTCAACGGCACTGTGAAGTAAAGTTAGACGGATTATCTGCATACTCTTCTTTGTCTAATTTTGAAGTGCAAGGGTCTGTTGGGCAAGGTCAGTTTTCAACTGTGTGGCGTGCGTTCCACTTTCCATCTGGTCAGACAGTTGCTATGAAAAAAATAAAGGTTAATCAAAATTTGATAGATGTTGTTCAAGTTTGTTGTCTTGTTGCGACTGCTTTAAATGTAATTTATGCCCATAAACTTGCATGGCACGTATGATGAAAGGTTTTTATTGTTTGCTGGTTTTCATGTTAATCTCATATTCCCATATTCTTGACACTCGTTGAGGCCAACAACCCCGACGAATAAAGGATGAAATTGAAACAGAATGTCCGGAGGTTCTGTTAGGATAAGGAATATATTTACATGTCTCTGCCATAAAGTTAATAAAACCACGTTCTCTGTCACATGCAACTATTGATTCTCGATGCCTCATTAGTCTTAGCCAAGCAGCATAAACTGCGGCAAACAGCTCATGCTGACAAATTAAAGCTTTTTTGGATCTTCACTAACTTTCTTTTAAATTGTTTCTTAAGGCGTAAATACTCTGCAGAATTATTAATAGATAACTTTCTAACTCTAACTATCAACAAACTAGATGCAGTCATTTGTTAAGAAGGTTACTTTTGTGATCTATGATCGTGTGTTACATTGTCTTAGCAAATTCATAGGCCAGTAAGGAGAAATCATCTGGAATATAGCACATTCTATCCATCTGAACTAGCCGTTTATCTTCATTGTGATTTGAGTAAAATATGAATAACGACGAGGCCTTGTTCTGGTGTAAAAATAATTACTAGCCGCCTTTGGTTCCGGGAAAGTTGGTGGGATTACGAAGTTTAGTGCAATGTTCGGCATGCAATTCAATCCATTTCAAATGTGAAACAATGCTTCATTAATGGTGTCCACTGACTCCTAGTTTCAAGATATGGAGTTCACTATTGGAGTGTAGTAACCACTTCACTTGATAGGGAAATTCATCAGTACTAATTGATTAGTGCTGAAGAAATCACAGCATGAACACAAACTGCTCGTTTGGCATTTGCTAAATTGGGTCATATCTGGCGCAAGCGTGATACCATCTACTAACCAAAGAGTGACTCAGCCACACGCCACTTGCCCCATCTCTCACTAGGGATATGAGACATTGCCATTGAAAGTGCAAATTATGAACAGGCTAACTTTCTCCGATAGCAGATATTTGCAATATATCTCCCATGTTAAGTGATAAGATATGTTGTTGTCTAAGGAGGGAAGGTTAGTTGACGAGATTGGTCACCTGGATCGATTCAGAAGACTAGGACACGTGTTGCGCTTGCCAAATCATTGACGTCGTCGATAAGTAATGTTAACTGACATAGGATTAGGCTGATAAAGAGGTGGGATGATCATGACGCTAATCTATGGTATTTTTGACTGTCGGTTTTAGCCACGTAGGAAGGTGCAGATCGCCTAGATGATGTCCTTGAGACACTAGTAAACGGTGCCTACAACTCTGAGCGAAATGGCTCATGACTGTTCACAGATGCATTTACTCCGTATGAACTCCCAGATCTATATGACCCTAATTATTCTGTTTCTTCCACACGTCTGCTTATTATAATTCCTTTGAATTTCTTTTTCCTGTTTTCCTACCTTTATTTGTGCTATATGAAATGTGGAAACTTGAACTGCCGCACTTCCCAGCGAAATTTCGCTATAAAAATAAATTTAGACGTACAAATACCTGGGTAAACCAAAATGTATTACACAGAAGGAAATTTTAAGGTCCTTCTTTATGTAAGGATTATGTTAGTGAGAAGCTGAAACAATTATTATCCTTTTCTTATAAGGTAATGCCTTGTTCAGAGAACTTCCCTACCCAAGTTATTGCCTGGAATGAAACTAGTTGACTTAAAGTTTACCTATAATTTAGAGAAGAATAATGGTGGGTTTTTAGCCATTTTAAAAATCACAAAGAAGAATTTCGGAAACTACTGTTTGATTGTCATGTCTAGTTTCAACAGACAGTCTGAGGATGTGGAATAATTTGGATGCGTGAGCCATTTCGCCTAGTTAAGGGTTACATAAGACAATCGCAACAGTTACTAGTAGCTTGAAGTCCTGATCACGTCAGCTTAACTTAATTATTAGACGATAAGTGAGCTACATTACACTCTGCTTTTCCAAATGACGCTTCGGAAATTACAATGATAAACGTGAGAACATGAGATTTTAAGTGTTTGACCGTAGTCTGTCTGTGCAGTATTGCTTCAATGTAATAAAACCACAGGTTAATTAACAGCGTTTTTGGACCAGTGGAGGTGAATAAGCTAGGAAGCTGTCAATGAATTCATAAAGAATAACTGTGCGTCGGTGGCACAGTGGTTAGGACTCTCGCCAACCATGCCCATGGTCCAAGGTTCGATCCCCTGCCGGCGCACACCCGATATCTATGGTTGGCCTGCAAAATTGGGCTACCGATATCACATGCTGAAAATTCCATACTTGTACCAAAAGTACGGTGTGGAATCAAGCTATAATAGATAGATAGAGATAGATATATTCTGAAACATCTATTTTCTAGATCGTTAACATCACCTGAAGTTGAATTAGGCTAGAACATAAGATGAAAGTTGTCATGCTAGTAATTTTTATGTGCCCTTAAACTATTTCTGTGAGTGACGTGAGCCATGAGAGGAGGTGTAGGCTATCATGGTTCAGAAATGTTTAAAATTAGTGACTAACGACTGTGCATGATATGCTTCAAAATATTTCTGGCCAATGTAAATTAAAGGAACTCCAAAAGTGAAAGTATATTTACTAACTTTCGTTTGATCTGATGTATTATGGTGTGTTTTTTGTTTATTTCAGCATAACTTTCTAATTCTTTTTTGTTTCACCGAGTAAAGACAAACTTTGTTTTTACAACTATACACCAGGTCCCTCTTTGTTCCGTTTTAGGGCTCTTTTCCAGCCTACGTATTCGTTGTTTCACCTGTGACAGGCAGTTCTAATCATAGAAACCTTGACACTAATACGTGATCACTTTCTTCCTAGTTTGAGGCAAACTAATAAAACATTCTATAGTTTCATTTCTATTCGCATTCGACATTATTCGCACTGTCAAATGTGCTAGTTCCTTTAGAATTCGTAAACATTTATCATGAAATGTAATTTGAAAATACGGATTTACAAAAGCCAAATAATTAACACAAGGGAAATGCCAATCATAAGAGGTGAAAAATATTTTAAGTTACGGACAGAATCACTTAAAATAATCATATCAGTAGGATTGATCATGCATCCCATTGCCTTCCGAGTGAAACATGGGGCTTTAAGCTTTGAAGTTAAAGTGACCTGCTGGCTGACTGCCAGCTAGGTAAAAGTTTGGATGTCCGTATCCCGGAAATCTCACCCGAATCACCTACTTTGCTGGCCAACATTCTACCTCTGAACTAGTAAGACAGGAAGTACTCCATCTTCCTCCGGTTTGTAAGAGTGCACAATTGGAAGTAGTCAAACGAAGACTCGACAAAGCCATCAAGAGAACCTATTATGTTGCAAAACTTGTTTTGCTTAACACCACTAAGCGAGTGCTTCAACAATCTGGGAAAGACCAGTCGCCAATCCTCGACACTTCAAACTGCGTATATCAGTTTGAGTGTGTTTGTGGAAGCAAATACATAGGTCGTACAGAAAGGCGATTGTCTACTTGCATGATGCAGCGTTTGCCAAAATGGTTGAAAACAGCTGAGTGCAAAGTGTCAAAATCCTCAATGACAAAACATCTTGTGGATTACGGACATGATATCGACGCGGTCAAGTCATTCACTATTGTCAGCAGACAAAGAAACAAGAAGATGCTTGCAATTGCAGAGGCTTGTGCAATTCGAGTTTATAAACCAGGTCTCTGTGTACAAAAAGAGATGGTCGTGACTCTGAATCTACCATGTTAATACTTTTTACTTATTATTCTACATCTTATTATTATTATTATTCTTGATTCATTTAAAACTATGCTTTATCAGTAGGATTATCTTAGCTCACTTCAACACTATCATTATTATTATTGTTATTATAACTATTACTATTGATATTACTCTGGTAGCAATTCTTGTTAAATTCTCTAATGTCTAATTGTTTATCTAAGTGATGTAATTGAAGCGTAATGCAATTTATCTTAATTTTGATCTCTCATACTCTCTCTCCCCTTATCTATTTGAACATGACCTGGAAAACATTCGCACCTGTCTTTCTGCATGGCTAATTCAATTTAGTTTGTTTACTTGTCAGTCTTATATCTCCCCATTTAATTTCAAAAGTGTATTTATCTGTGCATGTAGAGTATTCAGCTGACGAGTTCTACCGAAATTTAATGAATTCATTAAATCCTGTTTTATTAACTTTTATTGCTTGTTTTAAATTCGTATCAGGAAATAAATGTTTTCAATTTCAGTTAATCTTCAAGACTAGAAAAAGGCTTAACAATAAATTTAGTATGCCCATATTTTTTAAAGAATCACTGCCATAATTTGATTTATAAATGATGATTGCCAGTTATGCAATTAGCTCAGTAATCATGCACAGACTAAGCCAAACTCGGGAGGAACAAACGAGGGAAAATCAAGCGGGCTTTAGGCCAGGTAGAGGGTGCATAGATCATATCTTTAATCTCCGACAGATCCTAGAACATAGACACACTTTTAGGCGTCCAACAATTGCCATATTTCTTGACTTGAAGGCGGCCTTCGACTCCGTGGATAGAGAGGTACTATGGCAATGTTTGACTGTAAACGGAGTGTCAAGAAAGTACATTGCACTAATCAAGGCACTCTACTCAAACTCACGTAGCTGTGTAAGGGCTTATGGGGAATTGTCATCGGAAATGATAACAACCAGTGGTGTCCGTCAAGGATGTCCACTTTCCCCTTTTCTGTTTAACTTCATCATAGATATGCTAATGGAAGTATCCTTAACTGAACTTAACGACTTAGGAATCGACTTGTTACCAAGGAATAGTCTTATGGACTTAGAATATGCAGACGACATAGTCCTGTTAGGGGAAGATGCTGACAAAATGCAGAGTCTTCTGAACACCTTAAGCAGCAACCTTCGTATGTTTGGCATGCGATTCGCCCCCTGTAAAATGTAAGATGCTGCTACAGGACTGGACTACGTCAACTCCTAGCTTAGTGATAGGGAGTGAAGTGATCGAACATGTTGACCACTTTGGGAAGTTGTATCAGCACCAACGGATCGATTGGTGACGAAATCTCAGCACGGGTCCAAAAAGCTCGGGCTGCTTTCACTAACTTACACCGTCTCTGGCGTAGGCGTGGCACCCGGCTATCAACCAAAGGACGTGTGTACTGCTCAGCAGTTCGCTCCGTCCTTCTCTATGGCTGTGAGACGTGGCCATTGAGAGCGGAAGACATGAAAGGGTTGAGTGTTTTTGACCACAGATGTTTACGATCTCTTTCTCGCGTTAGGTGGTATAATAAAGTAAGTAATGTTGACGTTAGGCGTAGAGTGTTGGGCAAAGAGGGAAAATCAATCGAAGAGGCTATAAAGTTACATAGATTGAGATGGCTAGGTCACGTGCTGCGCATGCCTAGCCATCGCTCTTTGGAACGTGGCAACTCGAACTGCTGCACTTCGGTGCCAAATTCTATGTTGAATCCAGCCAGCCAGCAGCTTAAAAATCGATTTGAGTGCAGCAAATAAAATCCACTGGAATATACATATTTCCTTAATTCTTCTACCAATTTATCTCAGTTTGTTGTAATCCTAAGGAGGTCTTCGAAAGTGAAGGCTGTCGAAGGTTACGACGCCAGCTACGCTGTACAAAAACGCAAGCTTGTATCCTCCAATACAAAATGTATTTAGTATTTTGGAAACAGAGATAAAGAGAGGTAATGATTGCCTAACTATCTAGCGATTGTTGGCAAACAACTGGAAGTAACAAAACAGCGTGCATGACGGTGCAGACCCTTGACCACTCACCTTCAGTTTCAATGTGTTCAATGGAGAATATTGTAAGCTAATAATCTTGGGAAATTGTTTACCACTACAAGCCTTTTCTGTGCTGTACTAGCTTCAGTTATAGGTCACCACGAAGAGTTTTAGTAGTCATCACAAACATTAGAGAAGATTGTGGAAAATCATAGATAATTTAGTTTTTGCAATGGATGTAGCTCTAAACAGCTACACACACACATCACTAGTGGAAATAATTTGAGTTTTATAAACTGAACCTTTTGATAATGGGAATAAATATCTACAGAAAGCTGATGGTATTATAAATCAATGAAATTACCCTTAAACTATATCATATATATATATATATATATATATATATATATATATATAGAAATGTCTTAGAATTAGACTTCCAGTAGTCAAATATGTCCAACATCGTTATGTATTCAAACAACTAATTTTGTTTTTACCAGAATAAAGTCTGTGAGTACCTATGACACTCTACATCACTTAAGGGGAATTAGGTGGAGAAAACTTGAGACCGAAAGTCCATAAAGTAAGTATGAAGTAGGCATTCACTTTAAGCGGATAGAAAGCTTTCACACAGAACACTTGCTTTTAACCCTCAAACCCCATCATCGTTCACGTCATATTTAACTACTGCTACTTCTAGTGCTACGGTTAACCTATTTGCATGACTTTCTTAAAGTAATTACAATAATATCTCCATAATTTCACTTCGGTCAGTATTTCACTTTTGTGGTGAAGTTCTTTTTCTGTCTTACTTACTACATATAATTTCATCATAACAACAACAAAAAAAAAACTTTAATCTGTGTTCAAATAAACTTTCTTTCTTTTTTTTGAAAAATCAAAACCAGAAAAGAAAACACAACGGAAAATGTAATCCGTAACTAAGTAACAGTTTGTTTCCTGTCCCACTAAACTTCTTGTTACTGTAGTTTAGACTACTAACTATGCAATACAATGTTACGTTAATGTATGTACATTTATGCGTGAATGGCATGAAAATGCAACGGTATTTATAGAGTATACTTGTATTTTTAGATTATTTTACTGCATATAATAAGTAGCTTGCATGTAATGAGTTAAAAATTTAAAAATGTGCACAATTTAAACAATATACATATATCTATATTCATCAATATGTAATCTATTTTTAGTTCTTGTGTCCAGTGTGTTGAACTGTTTATTTTCTTCTTTCTTTTTTGATAGATATTTGAAATGGTTGATGCAAAAGCACGTAAAGATTGTGTACAGGAGATAGATCTATTGAAGGTAAGTAAGTGTATGTCTTTACGTGTGTGCGTATGTGTAAGTGAGTATATCAAGTTCCCTAAGAATAATACTTTTGTAAAATTCATTTGCATTTCTTATCAGGAAACATTTCTCCTTATTCCTTTAAACTAATTTGTATTTCCCAGTTGAGTAGTACTCATCCTCTGTTGACATATCGACTCCTAGTATACATTCTCCACTGATGTTTGGTAGTTAACTTGATACCACTTTCGTTGATGGTGACCAACAGTGAAGTCTGGGATGTGTATTCCATCCTACTTGGTGGAAGTCATCAGCTGTATGAATCAGCACTCCCAGTGAGTGATGGTGTTTGAAACAATGGGTGCTGATGGGTGGTTTGAGTCTCAGTGGATACATCACTACTCAGAGGCGATGCAGTTGATGAGTCCTAAACAGGACGAAATGCAACTACTGGGTTAAACTGCTAGTCACCATCCATTGTTATTTATTATGACTATTTTTTTCGTTTCTGAGGGGAAAAACGGCTTCAACAGCAAATCTCTATCTTGTGCTGTTCTATTCAATCCTCTCTCAGCTGGCCCCACGAATGCCCATAGGCATTCATCTTATCCTCACGCCATCTCTTACATGCCACCCCGGAACTTCCAAATGATCGTCTTCCGTTTGGGTACCACTCTAGAGCCTGGTGCGTGATGTAACTCTGTGGTCTCCATAGAGTGTGGCCTAACCATCCCCATTTTCTTTGGCGTATTCGCATAGTGACAGATTACTGGTTGGTTTGTTACTGGAGTTCTTTGTTGCTTATTCTTTCTGGTCATTTGATTTGCAGTATTGAGCAAATGTAGCTGTTGATAAGTCTGAAGCCTGATGGAAATGCTTTCGGTGATACTCCAAGTATCTGACCCATATTGATGAAGTGATTTAACATTGATGTTGAAAATCCGAATTTTGTTCTTTATGCTCAATTGCATAAGATTTCCAAACTGATTTCAGAATGATGGATGTGTACCTTGCCTTCCCGATTCTGGTTTTAACATAGTCATCCATTTCGCCTGTATTTGAAACGATAAGTGAGATAGAACCGAACGCAATGTAAACGTGTAGCTGAAGCCCTATGTTCCTCTAGGAACTAAAGGAGAGAATATTATCAGTAAAGGAAGTGACTTTTTGGTGATTTTAGATGGTTGGAGGAAATCGGCCACAGGAAGTCTTGGACCTAGGTTTCGTGCTAGTTGGCAGCCATCAGTTAGCAAGGCGTATCTTCAGCCTTGAAGGAACTCATGTCCCTTCTGAGGTTCGAAGCCGCGTCACCCAGTGCTGAAGTCACATACGTTACTACTGAGCTATTCGGGCTGGTAATTGACCTCCTGTAGGACTGTAGTGGGTATTTTGATTGGACACCAGTAACTAGTGTGATGTGTCTATTCCTATCTTCGGTGCAGAGTGAATTCTATCAGTCAGGTTTACAACGTGGCCACCATTCTAGGTAGCTCACCATCACGGTGCACATTGATTTGATGATATTAGATTGTTGGAGGCGATTGGCAGGAAGCGAAGACTATTTCAGATAGTCTAATAATCATTTGACAGAATACTCCTCATTATGTTCAGGGTTCTTTCCTTGATAGCGATTGTGGTTGACTGTTGTCAGTTGGTTATCTTCACCACCTCTGTATGCCTTTTGCTCACTTGAAGCTCATCCATCAAGTTAAGTGAAATTTCACTATTCTTACAAGGCCAACCTTCATTTATTTTTGCTCAGTGATGGAATGTTCACTTTGCACTACATGAACTAAGAATCTACAAGTGTCGTACAAAATGTGTACTAGGTATCAAAGGAAGAAACAATTCAGGTGTTCATTATGAAGATTTGAGACGGTTGGGTAAATGACTTACAACAAAACACTAATTACCTAGAGATTAGTGATTAGGTGTTTTAGTGTAAGTCATTTTACCAAAGCTTCTCAGATCTTCTTCTAAGCATGTCACACTGTACTTTTTCTCATTTTGTTGAATTACTATTCTTATGCCTAGCTTCCACTTAGTAGAAAATAATATAGATTCTTATTTCACTGATCCTATTCATATTTTAGACTGTATGAGGCTGAAGAGAAGCCTTGAAATAAAATGACTATAGTTTGTACTGGAAATCTTTATTTTATTTTGTTTTAATGAAGGTGATTGTGTTGGCACTTTGTATGAAGAATCATAGAGCAGCACAGCACATCTCCACCTCATCTTGTTCTTTGCAATATCTCTATCTTCTTGACACACATAAACTCACTAGTGGAGGGAATAAAATTCACATCTGAATCGGAAAATAAACAAGGAGAATTAGCTAACCGGAAGGTCCTGGGTTCGAATCCCAGTGGGTGCGTACTGCCGATGATTCCCAAACTAGGATGAAACAGCAGCTGTCCAGTACTCCTTGGTTTTCAATGGTTCTCTAGCTGATATCAGTCCGTGATCAACTCGTAAAACATAACTAATCCTTACAAACCAAACTATAGAGAATTAGCTATGTTAGATTGTAAAATGAAACGAATAGAAGAAGGCAAACTACATACTAGTGTTTATAGAAAACCAACGCATTCTAATAGATATTTAGACTTTAATTCATCTCATCCTTTAACTGTTAAGGCAGGCTTAGTTAAGTGTCTAACAAACCGAGCAATGGCACTAAGTAGCACAAAAAAGACCTAAATGATGAAATAAAACAGATAGAAGAGACATTGGTGTTAAATAACTATCCTTTAAAATTCATTAGGAAGATTAAAAAAGGCCAAAATAAAAATAATTGTGAAACTAGTAATAATAACATAAATAAGAGAGAATATAAGTCATCTACAGTTATACCACATAAAGAGGGGACATCTGAAACCCTACGTAGGATTCTAAATAAAGCAGGAATTAGGGTAGCATTTAAACCTACAAACTCACTCAGGTTAAAGGACCCAATTAGACAAAATAATATAATTTACAAAATATCCTGCAATGACTGTGAGGTCAACTATATAGGTCAAACTAGTAGATCGGGGTGAACAGATTGTTGGAACATTAGAATTTAGCTAAGGTAAGAATGGTTGACCCGGGGAAGATAAGTAATTTAGAAAAAAGCTCAGCAATTGCAATGCATGCATTAACACACAACCACACAATAGGGTGGGAGAGGGTTAAAATTCTAAAAAGTAATCTAGGTAGGTGGAGAGAGAGGTTGATTACTGAATCCTTGTTCATCGAATCTACACCCAACACATGCAATAGGAATGAATCATCACTCATACCTGAAATATGGAAAATAATACTACCAATCAAATCAAGTGAAAATCAAGTGAAAAACAATGGAACTATATAAATGAATTTAGGAAGTCGTGTGATTACCTTGATATGATTATGAGCAATAAATTGTGCTCGAAATGTGGTCATCAGTAAATATTACTGTATAACACTGTGAGACTTTATCAAAATAAAATTTACCCATAATGGAATTACACTCTACCACAGTGCCCAAGTTTTATTCTTATATCTTTGCAATACAGTTTAGCTGGCTCCGCTATTGTCCATAAATCTTCATCCCCTCTTCACACGACCTCATCCATGTAACCATAGGACGCCTGACTTGTCGTTTCCCATTCGGGCTCCACTCGAGAGTCTGGCGTGTTATGTCAGTCAGTAGTCTCTTCAGCTCACCTCTAATCCATCTCTCACTCACTAAATTTGGACATTCATATTTTCTCAACTATATTCAGCGTAAACGATAGATACTGAGGTTTTTGAACATTTCGACTTCAAATAGTCTTAATTTCAATACTTTATTTTGTCCAATTTACCAATCTGATAGGTTTCACACTCCATAAAAACTAAACACCGCTGCTTCTGATACCTCAAAGCTGAAGTGTATAGCCCTATGTTCCACTGGGAAAGCAAAATAAAGTGGTCCATTGGGTTAGATATCTGAATTATGAAGCATGACAACTAGTGAACGATAATATACCTAGTAAGAGTGAAAAGAACTCACCACTTAAATTTAATAAATAATGACACAATCAGTCAATGTTCAGAGACAAACTACTAAGGCATAGGAAGACATACTGCAGGCTTTTCCTGATATCTGACGAAATGAGATTAACACACAATATATTTCTTCATATCTCATTTGTTTATCGCTTATATTTTTCTAACGATTTACTTAATCTCGTAATTTGTCAACCTCAATACCTTGTTGCTATCTTTGCCACCCCCCACTGTTTCTTTTTTATTCGAGAAACTTTCATGACATTACACATGTAAGTACAGAAGCAACTGTACGTACATTTTACTATCTTAACATTCTTATTCATCTCTATACAGTGGTCATTCCTAATTATTGTTCAGCATTCCGTCATCAGTCAACTAAGGTATTCTGAAACTGTAAGCAAACTATTAGCTCTGATTATTCAGGTTGTAAGTGGTTGACAAGTCGGTGGCACAGTGGTTAGGACGCTCGCCAATCATGCACATGGTCCAGGGTTCGATCCCCGGCCGATGCACTCCTTTGCCTCGCTAAGTCAGAAATAAAGCCGGTAAAGAAGAAAGGTTGGGCATGAGGCTAGCAACCCCATCCGGTAAAATTAAACACTGCTACAGAAACTTGGAGCCTCTAGCTTGAAGCCCTATTTTCCACTGGGGAACGTGAAGGAACAAAAAATCGGTTGAGGAGATACAGACAGAATTAAATTAATCCATTTTATCGACCTCCCTTCACGTGTTCTAACTGTTTTGTTTAAATTTTGAAGGGTAACGTAATGACATGACCGATGACCGAAGCATTTAAACAATACAGGTTTATCACTGAGATTAGACAGTATTTTCAATTGGCCACCATTATAAAACACAGTTGACGTGGAATAAATACGGCACGATTATGGTCATTTCAGTCCAGCAGAAATAAAACACATCTGAAGCAATCACCAATACTATGCAAATGGACAGTTTTTCACTACTCATCTGAGTAGTATGTATTAGTCATATTGCTTAGCAGGTTGAATAAAATTATTTATTGTAAAAGCAAAAATACCTATCTGTTTGTTACATAATGGAAATTAGTTTTACATATTAATAGCTTGAATGATTGCCTAATTAAATATTCTGTTCATTTGTTGGGAGTGTGTTGTGATACTAGCTATCTGATTTTCAAATTTGTTTATTTATTTAGAGAGAGAGGGACATTTGAAACTCATCGAGTCTCATTGCTATTTGTTTATTTGTTGTCCTTTTAGTTTGTGTATTTAATTCACCTAGACAATTAAGACTAATATTATGCAGATTTGTGCATAAAATTTCGACTAAATTCTGTCAAGGCTTGACTTAAATTCTATCACTGAAATTATCTGTAATTTAATATTTTTATAGGCTAAGATATTCACTTTTCTAAAGTGGAGAGAGAGAGAGAAAGAGTCGAAAGTGTTGCAAAATTGAATACCTATCCGACTTTTGAAGAAGTTACTCGATTCTAGTGAACAAGGTTGTAAAAATTTGTTTATCTAGGTTTACTTGATTATTGTCTTAGAACTTGCAGATGCCGGTGATCTGTCTCATATGATAAAGGTATCCAATGTTTAAACCGTCTTGATTCTGTCTATATATTCTTCATATTATTTTATCTAGGCCGTCACGTATATGTCAATGCCAGTCATGATTATTGTGCGTCGGTGGCACAGTGGTTAGGACTCTCACCGACCATGCAGATGGTCTGAGGTTCGATCCCCTGCCGACGCACACCCGATATCTATGGTCGGCCTGCGAAATTTGGGCTGCCGATATCCATGCTGAAAATGTCATACTTGTACTGAAAATACGGTGTGGCATCAAGCTGTAATCAAAAATAAAAAAATAAAATAAAAAAAATTATTAGTATTCGTTCAGGTTCCGAGTAGAAGTTAGAGCCACGGCAGAAAATCTCCATTTCATCCCCTTGCCCACAGTCTTTTTCACCTGGCTCCATGATTTTCTGTAGGCCTTTATCTTCTTCTCCCCTGGCCTCCATCTTACACTCGTTTCCCGTTTGGATTCCAATCAAGGGCCTAATGTGTGATATCATCTAACGGTCTCTTCAGCAACGGGAGGGGGGGATAAAAACTGTCGTGAGGTATTTTCGCGCACTGTATAACAAACGTTACAACAGATATTCCAGTTGAGTAACAGAGTTTATGAAACGCCTTTAAAACAGCCAAACATAACATCTGATATGATTACAGCATTCCTTCAGGCCCTTGATAAACAATCAACTATTTGAGGAAATTCAAGTTGTAATTTACCGCCTACGTTCTACTCGTTCACGGGGGCTAAAAGGAAAGAGCAGCAAGTTTGACTTGTAATAGGTTACATCCTCGCCCATCCTCAGCGTATATCCAATCCATCAATTTTTCATTCTGCACATTTTTGGGGTGATAAGTTCTCGATTGGTTTTTTGTTGGAGTCTTTTGTTGCTAGTCTTTTCTGGTCATCAGATATTCACTATGGAGCGAAAGTGGCTGTTCCTGAAAGCTTTTGAAGCCTGTTTAGAGTGCTTTCGGTGACGCACCATGTTTCTAAACCATTTAAGATCTCTTGTATCTTAAAGGTGAATCGAAAAAGCCATATGTTTCTCCTCATTTTACAGGTGGTAATGATTAGTGGCTTCAAATCATACAGTTTACGAGAAATGTTTCCCAGTGTTCGAAGTTGTTTTCCCTTAAACTTGTCCGTAAGTATAATCTTGCCAACACAAATGCTAAGCAAAATTAATCATCTTATAAAGAGTGAGTAGAAATGACTCAGTGAAACACGCTGAAGGGATTATACTGATATGTATGAAGTAAGCTTATATTAGCTGTTAAATTTCCTTTAGTCTTAATTATTTTATAATATTCAGGTGTTGAGTTGCAGGGATTTGATTGGTTTCAGGATTTCATCATGAGCTGACATCAGTTATTGAATCACTGAAAAACCTAGGAGTACTGGACAGCTGTTTCATTCTAGTTTGTGACTCTTCAGAAGCACGCACCCACCATGGTTCGAACCCAGGGTCTTCTGATTACAAGGCAAGCTTGTAGACCATTAATCCACCGGGAGTCGATCCAGTGACCCATGAATTCTAACTTCTTCAAATTCACGATGCACCGTGACCACTAGCCAGTGCCAATGTTCTATAATAGTCACTAAAAAAGGATCAATTCTAAGCGGTAGTTTGTATAAATTCTACTGATTTCGGGTTTTATCATGAAGTCACATCAGTTAGAGAAACAGTGTAAAGCAGGGGGTAATGGACGACTCCGTCATTCCGGGTTGCGACTCCTCAGCAGTACGCAGCCATGATCCCACTGTGGATCGGAGCTAGGATCTTCAGGTTTTGAGGCGTACTCCTGAAATGTCTTAAACTTGGATGGAACTGCAATCCAGTGCTCTTTGGTGTTCATTGGCTCTCTGTCTGATCTCATTTCATCACATAACTTGAAGGGAAGAGTTCATTTGAACCTATATATTATTCTTAAATATAATTTTACTTATTATTTCTCATTTTATTTTATTTTAATAAATTAGAAATTAGATCATCCAAATGTTATACGTTATTTGGCATCATTTGTGGAGAACAATGAGTTGATTATTGTCTTAGAACTTGCAGATGCCGGTGATCTGTCTCATATGATAAAGGTATTCAATGTTTAAACCGTCTTCATTCTGTCTATATATTCTTCATATTATCTTAACTAATTTATCATCAAAAACTTGAGACTAAATTGACGACGTGGGTCAGCATGGAGAGGTTAGGTAAAAATCTACCAAAAAAGGTAACTAGGAAACGTTGCTGTTTCTTTTTCAAGGTACTGGGGGTGGTGTTTTCACACAAATAGTTTCAAAGTAATAATATTATATTATTACTGTTTGCTTTAGTTCCTGGAGAAACACAAGACTTCAGCCGCACGTCTCCGTTGCGTTCGGTTCCCTACCAGAGTTTTAACCTGTCTCCACGTCTGACCACATGCTATCATCTCCTCTTAACATGACCTCCTCCATGTCACCCTCGCACTGACGCCCAACTTGCCGCTTCCCGTTCGGGTTCCACTTGAGGGCCTCTCTCGTGGTGTAGCTTGATGGTTTTTTCAGAGTATGGCCAATCCACCTGCATAGTAATCCACCTTCAATGTAATACATGTGTAGGAATAGGAAAGAATGGGAAGAATGAAATGGATAATTTTTAAAATTCTCAATTCTCTACTCTAAGATTTTACTGGAGAATAAAAATTTTACACTGCGTTATTTGATATCAGTAATAGATCCTGAGGATAGCATTTCTCATCTTCGATCACTTTGAGTTATATGACACATAGGTTTCTGCCATAAACTTTATTTGGAAATGAAGTTGAACGGCGACCTGTTTAAATTGTTGTGCTACTTAAAATTCCATCTGACGAAATGCGTCGACTCTTCTACCTGGAGATATATGCTCCTGTGTAGTTCTGATTTCCATTCATGATCAAAATGAAGGAAAAAGATCGTTGGGGATTGAGTTTTACTTCACGTTGGCGAGAGTTGGGGCACACAGTATACTGTCAGTTACTATTTGATTTGAAAATCCCGCAGAAAAGACAAGACGAGTTGAGAGTTCTTTACTATGTGTAGATATAATGTCCAAAGCAAAGCATTTATAATTATTATTAATATTTTTGAAGTATTAGTTTGCAAGTACCCAAAATTCCTTTAGATCTGAATGCTTGATATTCAGTGGTATGTTCATAATCCCATTTAATCAAGGTTGTTCTAATAACCTATGGCTTGCTTATGAAACATCTTCAAATCAGTTAATCTTTACTAAACAATAAAAGAGTTTGCTGTATTTTAGAACTACAAATAAATATTAAAACTTAGTGAAAGGTAGTGCATAGCAGCTATACTGTTAGAATCTTCAGAACCACAGTTAACTGATGTTTCTATCGAGACTGTAACTTTTCTTACTAATTCTGAAACATCTATCATCATTTTCAGTGCTGCACAGAGAGTGGTTTACTCGGATGACAGAAAAATGAAAACACAAGTGAATCAATCAAATGAAACTGACAAAATCTCATTTTGTATCTTAGTTTTTTTAACTGTAGGACCATATGAAGAACGAGATAGTCTTTGGTTGGAAGATCAATATAACTGTAATGAAGGATGACTAAAAATAAAGTAAACGATTTAGACCAGAGACCTCACAATTAGTAGTAGTCTGAAGCTTTGATAGTTGGTCTATGTGGCCCAGCTTCTATCGCTGCAATCATCATGAGTAATGCTAAGATGTCATGTGAATGAATAAAACGTTGCTGACCGTTTAACGTCAAACTAACTGATCAGCTAAGTACTTTCCTGTCAACCCTGAACATAATAAGGAGTATTCTGTCAAATGATGATCAGACTATCTGAAATAGTCTTGGCTTCCTGCCGATCACCTCCAAACAACAACAATTCAGAAGACACCGTGATGTCAAGCCAACTAGCATGGTGGCTACATTACAAACCTGACTGATAGAGTTCAGTCTGCCCCCAAACAAAGGACTAGTATCATGATACTAGTTACTTAATAATGTCCAGTCAGAGATAGTCTTGAGTTGTCAGACTGAAAAATGTCGTTTTTTAGAACAGCAGATAAGGATTATTTAAGGCCTACTTTCATGCATGAAATAAAAATGTCTAATCTTGCCACTAATTGTACAATATGAATTCTACAAATACTTTAGCATGAAAGTAGATCATAATTACCATAATATCCTATTTTAGACAAATTCCAGTCATATATTTATATTTAATGGCAACAGGCTTTCTTAGGCATACAACGATTTCATAGTTTTTCACTAAGAGACACTGCAGGCAACACGTGTGTTTATGATGGTCGTGAACAGTATACACCTTATACACCTTAATTTAGCTGCTTACTACTGTTATTTCAGTTCAGTAATACCAATTCTCGTTTAACTACCATCGTTAAAATAGACTGATAGGTAAATTTAAAGATTTGACATTATTGTTAGTGCTTATGGTTGGTCTCATCACCTTATGATACTACCAAAAGCATTATTAGTGATAATAAAGATAACAATATCATTGAATAGCAGTTATCATCACATTCAGTATACTGACAAAATACGGGTAGTTTAACAACCTGTCAGCGTGAAAAAAGAAATAAATAGATTAATTTTCTTATGTGACTATTGTTGCTCATAGTTTATTGATATTTATTTGCTATTCTCTGTGGACATCTTTCTCTTCTCATTAATAAGTAAATAAATAAATTAATTAATTAAACTGTTTGAAAAATACTACTTAATTGGATAGAAAGTAGAATTTATACGATGGATAAGATAATTTTCCAAAGGTTGATTTGAAGGGATATGATTGATTTCAAATTTGATAAGGAATTCACTTCATATAGAGGAGCACTGAAATCGAAGGAGTACTGGACAGCTAAACAGCCTCAAACAAAGAAAAGACAGCTTTACAGTACTCCATGGTTTTTAATGTCTTTCTTATTGAAGTTAATTAGATACTCGCCAATGACACTGGCTGCCTATCGCTCTATACAATATCGCCAATTGGTAGAAGTTAGAATTGACAAGCCGTTCGATTCTGTGTCACTAGCCAGAAGGTCAGTGGGGTTGCCTGTAGGTCCTGGGTTCGATCCCTGGTGAGGTCATTCATGAGTATTCATGAGGAGTTGTAAGTAGGGACGAAGTACTCAATAGTCTTCAGTGGTTCTCTGAATGATATCAGTTCGTTGTTAAACTTGAGATAAGATTTCAGACTAGATCACGAATCGATATCACTTAGAAAACCATTGAAAACTGAGGATCGCTAGACATCTGTTTCGTCCCTTGTTCGAAACTCTTCGACAATAGATACCTATGATCCAACCTTTGATCGAACCAAGGACCCTCGCGCAAGCCCTTCAATAGCCAGTTAGAGTGCCACTGAAAACCAGTGAAGTATAATTTAAATCTTAGAAGGAAATAGCTCATCTTTCTCAGAAATTCAAGCACTAAGTGAGTCAGTTAATGAGTGTGTGAGGATTCGATTAATCTGATTACAGATGTTTTCACGCAGTGACACTGAAATTAGTTAAATCCCTACAAATCCCCCATCTAAGCATTAATCTGCCTCTCATCAGCCAGCACCTTTAGAACAACTATTTATCAGGTTCCTGTGGAGTAGTTTTGGCCTGTAGAATGTTCACTGATGACACTGGTAGGGGATAGTGAAACAACAAAAGTTATAATCCATATGCAACTGGATTCCATCCCAGTGGCTGAACGGTAAATAAGTTCCGCTTGTAGCGTGGAGGCTTTGGTTTGATCTCATTTAACATCATAAATGCACACCACTTAAGTGTCTTACGCTAGGACGAAAAGACCATGTAAGGCTGTGGGTCTTTAAATGCGCTTCTAACTGATTTCAGTTCATGACAGGATTTCACAGTGATAAAGTGAATCGCTTGATTACCTGTTTTATGATAAGACTGGGAAATTAAGTCGAATATTTAGGTCTACTGATTCATACATCGCTTCGTTTTGCAACACTGAAAAATGTAGCTTAAGTAGTGCTTAAGTGCGTCGGTGGTATAGCGGTTGGGATGCTCGCCGACCATGCTTATGGTCCAGGGTTCGATCCCCGGCCGACGCACTCCTTTACTTCGCTAAGCCAGAAGTAATGCTGGTGAAGAGGAAAGGTTGGGCATGAGGCTAGCAACCCCATCCTGTAAAAATAAACACTGCTACAGAAACTTGAAGCCTCTAGCTTGAAGCCCTATTTTCCACTGGGGAACGTGAAGGAATAAAAAAAAGTAATGCTTGACATATACTTTCTTCAACAAGGGTTGTCTAAGTCTTCACTACTTATGTGAGTGACCTGAGTAAAAATTCTTTTGTCAATACAATTTATGTAAGAAAATGTTATTCTACAATTTTTTGTTTACTTTAGCACTTTCGTAAGAAAAAACGACTAATTCCTGAGAAGACTATTTGGAAGTATTTTGTTCAGATTAGCAGTGGTTTGGAACATATGCATTCTAAGCGTATTATGCACAGAGGTAAGGCTGTGTGTATATGTATAATTTTCAGTACACCTTGTGGTAACTATTTTCAACGCTAGGATATTCAAAAAGAGGTCATGGATGATAGTGAACTCTATCGTGCTTGTTATTTCCTTCCGTAAACGTTTTTCAGGATGATAAGACATCGCTTATTCAATACGATGGATGTTTGTTTTTTAGAATCCTCTTAACTAGTCATTTGTGAAGTCTCATCAATACCCTGATGTTTCGTGCTAGAAAAATCTTCAATACCGACACTTTTGACGATGATATAAGGAAAATAGAAAACTTATTGTACGAGAACAGATATCCAGAAAAAATTTGTTGAGGTCTCCAAGATGAGAACAGAAAAAGAGAAGTGCCTGCAAACTGTGAAGATGAAACGTATATATATATATATACATATATGACTTTGTTTTTACGAGTTTGATCACGGATTGATATCGGTTAGACAACCATTGAAACCACCAGGGAGTACTGGGCAGCTGTTTCATCCTAGTTCTTTTCGGAATCGGCAGTACGCAACCATCAATGGGGTTCTAATCCAGAACCTTCCGGTTACATGGATAGCTCGCATACAATTCTGCCACTGGGGCCCTATTTAATGGCCAGCTCATGAATCCTGACTTCTACCAATTCGTGATTTAGCGCGACTGGCACAAACCAATGTCATCGACAGGAAATCTATCCTCATACTTGACTGGTTGGACCTCACTGGTCACTCCATGAAGCTCCTTCCTGGAGTTCTAGTGAAAAATTGTGACCAGTGACGTCTATCCAGTCATGTGTGAGGATGGATGTCCCACCGACGACCTTGGTTGGGGTCACGCTAAATCAGGAATTGGTAGAAGTTAGAATTCATGCACTGGCCACTGTGTTGGGTCCCAGTGGCTGAATGGTAAGTGAGCTAACCTTGTAACCAGAATGTCCTGGGTGGGTGAGTACTGACGATGATTCCCAAACTGGGATAAAACAACTGTCCAGCACTCCCCAGTGGTTTCAATGGTTCTCTAACTGATATCAATCCATGGCCAAACTCGTAAAAACAGATCTAACCTTTACAAACCAACTCTTGAAAATATATGACTTTACCGTTCAAAGGAGACGCAGCCACTAAACTGCTGATATCAAAACCCCGAAAAATAACAGCCCAATCATTCTTTGCTGTAACACTATATTTAAAATTCACCACTTGTTGTATAATTCTAACGCAGGTGAAGGATAAGCCACTGAGTCTGGCCACTTCAGTGTATATTTCTAAATTTAACTGTTCTTGTGGAGACAGTTACTTAGGTAGGACGACTCGGTAAACCCATCGTCACCTTCTTGAGCGTTGTGCAACGTGGTTAGGTAAAGGAGTCGTAAAATCAAACGGGAGTTCCATATTAACACAACTTGCAGATGCATATTACAAGATTGAGAGAAATTCCGCCTATTAATTCAATCCTATACAAGGTGCCACCTCAATTCCTTAAGTTTATATGTCCTCAACTGCTAGGCATAATTAAAGCAGTTACCACAAAAGTTTCCAGGCTAGGGTGATCACAAAACGTTTGTTCAATCCCTTTTCCTCCCATGGCATTCAACCCCAATCTAGAACAGTTATCTCTACAGGTGATACTGGGTAACCGCAAATGTTATCCTTATCTGTACTGCTGACTTTATTATTACTATCACTCTGTGCTACAGTCCTTTATTTTAATCTTAATTTCACAATCTGTTTTTATATTCTGTAATCTCTATATGTCAGTAGTTGTTTTCCCCTTTGTCCCTATTATTATACACATTCTGCTTACAAGTTCATTACTACTTAGATTATATAAACACTTAAATGAATTTATCTTTATTACTATTATTATTATAATCACTTCTCTTGTTATCCATTAACTCACATCCCTGAACTTTGATTCCATTTTTGATTCAATTGACCCATATTGTTTCAAACAACTATGTAATTGTAAAGTCTGATGAGAACCTTCCGAAAATACATTTTCGCTTAAACTGTGTACTATAAACATTGAAGCAGCTAATAAAACATAAGTGTACTAAAAGTCTTTCACATTTAACTGCTATAAGTTGTCTTTTCTATCGACTATGGAAGGAACTGTTTCACTTGTTCCTAGAAGATTTAATATGAAGTATACATCTCTTTTATAATCCTCCTGTTATTTCCATGAAAAGACGTTGATTAGGGATTTGATAAATAAAAATATACGAATGAGCATTATTAATAGGGGCTATTACCCACTGAATAATAATGTTTAATTTAACGCCAGTGGTCTATGTTCGCTTCCGGGTTGAACCACTGTCAAACCTCACTTAGCCGACAGTGAACACGCTAAAGATGGAAGACTAAGTGTAAGGCTAGTAAGCACACTTCTTAAAAGAATAACATCACTACTGAAAATTCAAAATCCAAGCTTGAACATCTACGCTCTATCCTGAGTATAAATGAATGAGAAGAAATGAAGGAGAGGAGTAATCACTTTCCTTAGGTATTCGTAATGTGATCTATAGTGGAAACGCTGAACTGTAGGCACAATACCTATCACACAGATGTTTCTAATACAGCAGAGAACATCACTTTTGTTGCCTAACCTATGAACATTAAAACATATAAATAAGCAACATGAAATAAACAAATTTCAATTAATCTTGTGTATGAAATTAATAGTCGAAATAGAAGAATATAAGGAACAAATATAATTAGAATGCCTTGAAAGTAACCATGCTTCTTTGAAAGATCAGTTAATTTCACTCTCAAATGAACATTGCTCAAAAGCTAAATAACTCCTTTCATTTTAATATTATGTCGACCAAAGGATGCAACAGTAAAAGAAGAAAAAACCAACGTCATTTTCATTAAATTAAATTATATTAGCTGTAAAATAGTAAATCGGACAAAGTGGACAGCCTCTTCAACTTTGCATTCTTGAGCATTAACTACCAATCAATGGCAGTGACGTTCATCCTTTCATATTAACTCACGTAGATGATAGCAAACATTAATTTGACCGGAAAATGCATAGGAAGTAACCACACAAAAGTACATTAGGAATACCAGAGAATTCATTGAACGAAGACAAACGCGTAGATAAGTCTACTGTTAACTAACACACACTGATAAAGGTCACAATTATGAGGCAGAAGAGAATGACTCACATATAAAATAATAAAAACGAGCAGAGAGATGAGCAAAGCCAAAGAAACAATCAATTGCAGTTAAGTTGATCATGGACACTTTCAAACTGTCACCGCATTTCAAGGTTAACTCTGAAGATATTGTCTACTGGAGAAATTGAGAGCTTTTCTTCATGGAAAATACTCGTTAGGATATTAGAAAGAAAAGGACATATAGCTCAGCAAAGATGTATCTTTTTGGCTATTCCATCCTCAAAAATTGTACAGTCCACATAGTTTCCATTATTATTTAATTTAGCATAGGAAAGAAGAGACATCAAATGTGATAATAATTTTCAAATTGACATAAAAATTCGAAGGGGTGAATATAAGTTACAAGGGGGTTGGGAACAAAATTACACAGGCTCAGAAAGTGGTTGCATAATATTTAAAGAATTTTTTTATTGAAGGCAGGTGTGAAGTAGGTTGACATAGAAAGAAACTGAAATAATAGCTTTTCTAACTGAATATGAAGAAAAATGAAGGAGGTGGGGAAAATGATAACTATGAAACGAAACAGAATTAGATGAATGGTAAACATAGGGACTGGACTAGATTCTTCAAAACGCGTAACTACTCAGTGTATATGATGAAGGTTTCTGCAGTACACAGGAGTCGAAAACATACTGCATCTGGTAGATTTTTGTTCACCTTGTAAATGACCCTTATTGATATGTTGGTTGGGATGTTGCAACAGGTGCTGATGAAGTGTTCAGATATAACGCTTGTGATTGAAACACTACCATGACTTATTATCTATATTCTTACCTTCAAACTTTCATATCAAGTTAAAAGTTATTATCACCTTTAATGTCCCTTTGTTATTAAGCTGAATTAATTTGGAATTTTGTGAAAATTATGTAGAAAATATGATTGTAAAGCTTTTGAAGATAAAATCGCTGAGAAGACATCTTTGCTTAGCTTCTTGAACCTATCTTCAGTTAAATCATCTCAGCTCAGAGGACGCGATGCCACCGAGAATAATAATTTTCCTAGTATTAAGTTAGAGGATAGCGAATAGCAACGGTGTCCAGAATGAGCATTTCGTCCATTTTAGGACTGGTCAGTTGGATGTACCTGCATCCGCAGTGAGTGATGCTATTCCCAGTGATGCTAGAACGCAGTGCCCATTGTTTCAAATACCTGAGCTTTATCCACGAGAGCCACCTCCTGTTGCAACGGGGATCAGTTATTATCTGTTTGTAAACCAATTTTGACTATTCCGTTGATTGGCTTGACCGAAATATCTGGCCTCTGTTGACCTTTCGGCTCCTAGTACAGTAAGGACGCTTTGAAGATATGTGAAGATTGAATTGAAGTAATATGGAGATTGGTGACTATCACTGGAAGGATTGAAAGTCGTAACTTGGAAACCACTGCTAGTCGCCATCCACCGAATAACATCATTGTTGATTGGTTACAGGATTTCTTCATAAACTGGCATCTGTTAGAGAACCACTGGACTGGATCCCAGTGACTTAATGGTCTACGAGTTCGACTAGTAACTGGGTTTGAACTCCAGTGGATGCGTACCGCTGAAGAGTCTCAAACTAGGATGAAACAGCTATCCAGTACTCCCAGGTTTTCCAATAATTCTCTAACTGATATCAGTTCACGATGAAATCCTATAATCAATCAAATCAAATCCCCACAAACCAACACTTGAATATCAGTGTTAATTGTCTGACGACATCTTTGAAGCATCCGTACTAGGCGACGACACGTCAAGACAAGCCAGCAATTTCTGTTGGACAGGTCAATGAGAAAATGAGAATTGAATTAAAAACAAATAATTGTGTTAGTATGTTAACATTTGAGTTTATACACTAGTGAAGTTCCATTTATAAGGTCTTTCTTCTTAAAATATGAATAAGAAGTATATCGTACAACTTTTATTGTTTATTATCTCATTAAATAGTAATTAAAATGAGAATTACTTCCTTTATTTTTATATTCATATAAGTAAATATATATTGTTTATTTATTTGTTTATTGATGTATTTCTTTTCATTACTTCACTATTATCCCAATTTTCTTTATTCTTTCTTCTTTCTCCCATCCACTTTTCTTTCCCTTCTTACATTTTCTATTCCTTCTCTAAGCATCTTGTTGTGTTTTTGGTCAATATCGTAATGTAATGGAAATGTTTAAATAACTCAGCAACACCAACAACAATAAAGATGTAAATTACAATGAAACAATTCATTTTGCAAGGTCATCTCTCAATGTAGTAATGACAATAATAGTTGTAATTGTTTATTTGTTACCCTAGGCAACCAAGTAGTCATCTATGATAGACTATCGGCATCAAAACACGCACACACATACGTAATGATGATAATGATCACAAATGAATTTTAGTGTCAATGTAAAAGAAATTAACATAATCCAATATTATATATATGCATATATATAAATGGGAATAATAAGGAAAAACGACTTAGTGGTGAGATAGTGCTGGATGGTAAATAAGCCTTAGTAAAAACAATTTACTTGCCTATTTATTAATGATGAAGAAAGACTGGGTATCTTTATGGTACATATGTATACAGAACTTGTGTTGGACAATGAATGGACCAATAAATAAATAAATATATAAATAACTAGTTGAGATGATGAAAGGAAAGATGAGTGTTTCTTATCAAGGAGAAGATGAAGAAGAAGATAGAATCTCTATACGATTAGAAACGATTAGATTGTCAACAATATTGTTTACACTTAGAATATAACATGAATACCGTGTCATATGCTCTAAGAAACTATAGTAACAGATGGAAAAACTTGTCAGAAAGAATTTAGAGCTGTTCAATTTCATTATGTGTATTGAACAGCTGTTTTAATCCTAGTTTTGGACTCTTCATCAGCACCCACCCACTAGTGTTCAAATCCAGGACCTTTCGGTTCTAAGGCAAGCCCTTATAGGCTATTCAGTCACTGGGACCTGATCCAATGGCCTATGAATTCCGACTTATACCAACGGGCGATTGTGGTGCATCAGACAGCCAGTGTTCTCAATTGCGACAAGGTAGACTCCACTGGTATCGACTTCTCAATAGAACTTCAGGCAGCTTCGCATGTTGTTTTTTTAAATCTTTTAAATCTTTTTTTCGCCTATTCAAGGTTAGTACTGTGGTACTGTTTTAACATAGTTTCCTTTTCTGCTCATTTTGTTTAGATATTAAACCTGCTAATGTATTTATCAATGCCAAAGGTCAAGTGAAACTAGGAGATCTTGGACTTGGAAGATATTTTAGCTCAAAAACTATAGCAGCTCATTCCTTAGGTGAGAAATGCTTCAGTGTCACCTATCATGTATACGTTTTTCGACACTAATGACTGGTGACTGATGGTGGAACACAACTCCGAGTTCTGGAGAGACTTGGACCATCGGCCTACAGAATACTAGTCCAGAGCTTCGTCAACTGATCTACAATCTCCAACCGCCAATTGGACCATCGTTTCATGTATAATACCTATCAGTGAAACAGTAATACGGAGGTCTCCAGCTTGAAACCTGCGGTGACCCAAATTTGCATGTAACCTTCAGTCATCACCTGCTCAGTACACTGATAACAGTCTACCAACCGAAGGCTGCCTTTGAAAGTCTCACTATCATCATCCACATTGGTTAAAAATTTAGCCATTTCGTGAAAAATGGAATTACGTATTCACGTAAAACCAAGAAAGCCTGTGTGTAGAGATACCGTGATTGCTGAATCTACACTTACATTGTTCTATATTTTATGGCACAACGGGATCACTATAGTGCTTTTTTGTTAAACAAGTAGTGCATATTCTCTTAAAAAGGTACCTGCCTTGTGAAATTATTTACCAGCTCAGACTATTCACTGAATGGTAATGTATGCCAAGTCCTACATTGATTGCATCTGTCGGTTTATCTGCCGGCGTGTTACTTTAACCTCTAGGGTCCCTATAGTCATGCTGTATTTCTCTAGGTGAAAGTTACTTTATTTCTGAAAAAAATAATGAAGAATATAGTATTCAGCAAAGAGACTCTTTCTAACGAATTTATTATTATGTTCTACAATTGTGTTTACATGCAACTTTTAGGAAACTATGCGCAGTCAGAAATTTTAAATTAAGGCATGAATAGCGGTGATGTGAAATGCGATTAAAATGTTTGTGATTATAATGATAATACAATATCAAGTTAAAAAAACAAATAATATTATATACAGAATAGTTCATAGAATGTATAAATCTTGGAAAAGGATATAAACCTGATACGACTAATAGCATTGAAAGGCAATTGAAAAATATTGATTATTAGGCTGCTCGTACAGATATCACCCCTTTGCGTTCTGAGTAGAACATAAGGATTGAAGTGTGAGGTTTGAACTCATTAGTGGTGGTGTGATTCCTTGGTGGCGGGTGGAGGAGCTAATAGCCTCGCGCCCAAACCTTCCCTATTTGCCACGCTTACTCCCGGCTAAGCTAGGTCCAAGAGTGCATAGGCAGGGAATCAAACCCAGACCACGTGCGTGGTCGGAGAACATTCTACCACCAACGCACATAAACATGTATATACATATACATCTAGTAGTCTAGTAACAAGCAAGTCTCTTAGTATCCAACATTCTATGAACAAAACTTATTTAAAAATACCGTATAATGGATTTAGAGTTAAAATTGTCCCACTGTTGTAGGCCAGTATCTTAATACACGACAAATGAAGGTTTGTGACATGCGTGTGATATAATAAATAATCAAATGGTCAATACTTAATTCATATACAAAAAAATCATTGAATACTAATCTCAATATAGAAACAGAATGAAATGGATGAATTGTTTGCTGTTCATGCGCAAAAGCATGTATTCTCTCATAAGTGTATTTCAATCTCTTTCAAAAGACTCATAACGACCATATGCTCAGCACAAAAAAATGGTTCAAGTCTGTGTGGAAGTTGATGTTTCCTTGATGATATGTAAGTTGTTCAACCTTATGGATCGTGTTGCTCAAAATTTGCCACAGTGAAGCAAAGAGTTAATTAAATCCTGTTTCATATCTCGTTTATCCTGTAGCTTGTCTTGTAATGCACGCACAAAACTTATTCATTTCAGTTTCTCTGAAAATGAAAGTATCACTAATGGCTGGATGTTTTTCCCACCTAATTTTTATACTTTCTTCATTATAATGAAATAGATTACCTGTTGTAAATAACTGATACAACAGCTTATGCATTCAAAATACTTTTTCCAAGTGTTAGCTTATGCAGATTTGCCCAATTTCAGATTAGATTACCAATGTAGACCAATTAGAGAAACTTCGAAAACCAGAGTGTACTGGACAGCTGTTTTTTTCTAGTTCATGACCTGGGTTCGAACCCTAGTACGTTCATGAAACATCTTATCTGAAAACAAAGAGCACTATAACGTTTAGCAGTCTGGGAGACAAAACACATCAGATATCCCATATATCTCATCTATAGATGATTGGAGGTTATCAGCAGGAATCTTGGTACTTGATTTTATGCTTATTGGCACTCATCAACATGGAGATTCACAGGAAACTCACCCATTGATGCGTTCGCTTCTAATTATTCATTGTTAGTCCTGCAGGAGATCAGTTGTGAACCTGTCTGGCTCACTGGCATCGTCTCTAACTACAGCACTTGATGTTGTAGATTCAAATCTCCAGGGGGACATCAGTTCCGTGGAAGTTACAGACATAGCTTGGTGTTAACAACTTCTTGAAGACAAAGTATATATGATAGATTTGATATATATTTCATCAATTAGGCAGTTAAATCCAGTCGTACTTTTGCCTTCCAGATATGAGTAAGTCACTTTGACAAAGGATCTTAACTAACGATAACCTTTACGATATTCTGTTTGAAACATTCAAGCTTAGTAAGAATTATGATTGTATTCAATGGTTATTGCCAGCATCTAAGAAGAGATGTAATGCAATTCTTTCCCTAATGTTACATAAGTAATTTTGCTTCTCTTCCCCTTTCTATTACTTTTTCCATATTAATTATAGAAATTACTAAGAAATATACAGATTTACTGAAGCGTGCAGCTTTGCATAATATATTAATTAACTAATTAATTACATAAGTTAGTTGCATAGACTCCTCCTTCCCATTCTCCATCTTCTTTCACTGTCTCTCTCTATCTTTCTTGAAAATATTAATGAACAACATATTTTGGATTAGTTTTTATTTATCATTGTTGCTGTGACTTTTGTAGACTTTAAGAAACCGATTTTTTTTTAAAACTTTTACCTAAAGATAATATTGCTAACGGTGACAGATAGGAAAACTGTGATATTATTTCTCTTCTCCTAGAGTTTATTATTATCTTAAGCTTAGCTGCTCAAAATAAATGAGCGTTAAACAAGTCACCATTTTATTGCAAAAATCAGTACATCTGTTTGACTTAGATTAAGATTTGAAACTTCTGTTCACAGTCTTTCAAACACGATTTTGTAAGATACTGGCAACAGTAAGGCTGTTTTGGTTTAGTTAGTCATTCATTGCCTGAATTTACAACATGTGGTTGTTAGTTACTTGTTCAGACAGGAAATAACCTATTTGATTGGACACTAGTAACTAGTGTGACGTGTCTAGTCCTTTCTTTGGTGCAGACTGAATTCTATCAGTCAGGTATTTGCAATGTGACCACCATTCTAGGTAGCTCGCCATCACTGTGCACACTGATTTGATAGTTGGAGGCAATCAGCAGGAAGCCTTGGACCTATGTTTCGTGCTAGTTGGCACTCATCAGCAAGGCGTATCTGCAACCTTGAAGGAACTGATGTCCCTTCTGAGATTCGAACCCGCGTCACCCAGTTCTGCAGTCAGATACTTAACACTCAGCTATTCGGGCTCGCGATTGACCTTGCCGTTACCAATACCCTTTGCAATCAAGTCAATCTTTCAAGTTGAGATAACACTAAGATGAAGCGTGAAATTGATATCATGGAATAGAAGATAAACACTCAGTGTTTATAGACACTAAGTAGGTAAATATTATTTGTCACTAGTAACTAAAACAACATCCACGAAGTTTCCACAGATACGAAGACAAGTTTAAAGTATAACCGTTGGAAGAAGTAACAAGTGCACTTCAGAAACATTGAGAAAAAGACCATTGGGCATACATCGATCTATTCGCTCGACTCTGTCGAACTTTCAAAAGTACGTCCGACATGTGCTCCAGAGTCTCTACAATACATCTGATGCGTATCTCAGTGCTTTTGCTATGTGTCCTAGGTCTATGCTAGCTGTGATGTCTCGAAAGACACACATCATTAAAATATTTGTAGTACATTAGTGTTCGCCGACTTTTTTAAATGCTCCATGTCAAACTGTACTAGTGTAATTTGTTACTGGACATGATTTTTAGTGTGTGCAGTACTCAATAGTTCATGTCATCTCCATGATATATCACAGAGAATAATACTTTCTGTAAAAACACTTAAGTCTCAATCTCATTATTAGTTCTGCTCAACGTTCGTTTTAGCAAGTAAGGGTGGCATACTCCTATTAGGTTTTTTAGTACTTGAAACAGATTTCTAACTAATAATAATAGGTATCATCTTTACAAGGAAAATCAAGACGAATGTGTGAATGAACTGCCTCCAATAACAACATAATGCAGCATAGAAATTCCTGTGGGAATATCTCACAGTAGGGTAAAGAACTATACCATTTTCATTTGTCACCTACTGAACAAGAACTTTTAAGGTTTTGATTTGACTGATTTCAAAACTGATCACTAAATGACTTCGTTTAGAGAACCACTGAAAATCAGAGAGTGTTAGACAGCTGTTTAGTCCTAGTTCGGGGCTCTTCAATAGTGCGCATCCATGACTCCCCCAAAGATCGAACCCAGGATCGTCAGGTTACAAGGCAAGCTCGTATACCAACCGGCTACTGGGACAGAATCTGGTGGCCAGTCAGTTCTAACTTCTGCAAACTGTTTTACTTATCTTTTTTTGATAACAATGACTGGATCACTTAAGCTGCTCAAATAATTATTCGTATTAAGGTAATCGCTGATTATCCATTAAGTTGGGCAAACCTTTGTAAGATCCACATCCTTTTGGTGGTTAAAAGTGATGAGGATAGTGGCGTGATTGTTTGCTGTATTCACGGTATTGGGATAATAATAATAATATTATCCTTAGTAATGTAATCCAAAGCTGTTTTGTTTTAGTTTTCCTTATTCAGGCCTCATCGAATGAATTCATATATATCTGGACAAGAAGTCGAGTATCTAATTAAGGCACATCGATTTTATATCATCAGCTGACTGTTTCATCATTATAACTTTGTGATCTGTCACATTTTCATCTTGGTTAAGCAGAGACATGCAGCAGCATTACATTAAGATGAGATTTACCAATATACAGTTTTCACCAGTTAATATTTCTTGTTGTCACCTTATTAGTTTTGTGCCACTTTTCATTTTATTGGCTTTTTTCCCTACGGTTAACATTTTTCGTGTTTTTATTCTTATATAGTCGGTACACCGTATTATATGTCACCGGAAAGAATACATGAACAAGGCTATGATTTTGCTTCTGATATATGGTCACTGGGATGTCTGCTTTATGAGATGGCAGCGTTACAGTCACCGTTCTACGGTGAAAAAATGAATTTATTCCGTTTATGTCAAAAGATTGAACACGGGGATTATTCACCATTGCCAAAAGATATCTACTCAACTGAGGTTAGTTTATTCAAATTATTTGTTTATTTATTTATTAAACTGTAAAATAATGTTCACTATTCATCACTGTACTTTATTCAGTTATTCGTTTCTTGAGTCCCGAGTGGGATATGCGGCTCTACACTCGGTTTCCTACCATCAGTGTTAACCGACTCCACAACTGTCCACAAGTATTCCTTTCCTTTTCACACGGTCCTCATGTCGACCGGGCCCAACCTATCACTCTAGTTCAGCTTTCACTCCTGGACCTGGCACGTGGTGTCAATTGAATATTTCCACTTCTGGATCACCGAAAATTCAGTATTAGGCGCTTTTTTCAGTATGAACGTTCGTCATATTGAAAACACCAGACGGAGATAACCTGTTGTTTCTGGAGAATTCTATTCCAGTGAATACTATTGAGATGGTGAAGTCACTTTCGGAGCTTCACATTTTTAAAGTGAGATCATGAATTGATATCACTCAGAGAACCAGTCAAAGTCAGGGAATACTGAACTGTTGTTTCCTTCCTATTTGGGACTCTTCAGCAGCACATACCCATAACCCTACCTAGAGTCGAACCAAGGACTGTCAGGTTGCGAGTTGAACGCATCGGCCATTCAGCCGTTGCGACAGGATTTTTCTAGCAGTGTTTGCAGTATAAGTCTTGACTTGTTGAATAATTTTCTCATGAGAAATTGAGCAATATTTCGAACAATACAAGCTTGTTTTATTTCGTGGATTCTTTACAACTCTGTACGCCCTTAACAATACCAAAATATAATTCGGAAGTACGAAGGTGAGAAGAATGCACAAAATAAAATGAGCTCTTAATATCCTGCAAATATATTCGTCCTTTCTTTAATCAAACCAATAAAGGGAACCGATTGTATGAGAAACTGAGCAACAGTTTGGTGTGAACTTTTCTACATCATTTGTCACTTTCTGTTCAACACTAACCAGTAAATGTTTAATTTTCCAAATAATTTTTAAATTATACAATATTATTTCATCACTACTGTTTTCTCCTATCTTAATTTAGCTTCGTGATCTCGTTAACATGTGTATACAGAAAGAACCATTGGATAGGCCTAGTATTACACATGTGCATAATATAGCTAAACAGATGCATGAATTACTCAATGAAAAATTTTCAACTGATACCTCATCGACGTCAACTCAGATGATAGATTCTCGGCCATTGTCGGCTACTGTAACCTCCACAACCGCCGCTTCTTCCTTCCTTCCTCCTAATCCTATTCCGCTATGTAGTAATGAGATACCAGGAGAGAATCGTACTGATAGTCTGTCATCTCTTCATTGATAACAAGGAGAGAGAGAGAAAACAGCGGTGTGTCTTTCAATAAAGCAAGTGATACTGTTTAGAGGAAAGTCAAAGCTGAATCATCAACATCCGACAACTAAAACCATTAAAAAGAAATAAGAGTCAGATAGAATTATTTAATCTGCTATTGTCAAATAAGATTGATTGATTAATGATGATGATGTATAGCCTACAGTTATTTATTTATTGATTTATTGATTTTTTTTAAAAACAATACACTGCTGATCACTTCAACTCGATAATGTTGTACTCCTGTTACGGCTGATATTTTTGTTCCCTGCCTTCACCCCATTCGTATCACATGTGATTATTAATCTATAACTGGTTTCAGATAGAACAGAACAAAACACTGCTGTGATGTAAACACCGTGAGGTGAATTTACTTCCCATTCAGTGACTTGAAGCACAAATTGCCTGGATAGTGGATAAAATTCACCTTAGAATCCTGCTGAAGAAACTTTTCATCTTTTGATCGTGTAGTATAGAAATTTAATGGAATAACTTTCAAAGTGTATAATTTATATTACTTTACAATATTTCGATTATTACTGTACATTTACCATTAATCTTATTATTATGATTATGATTATTTCTTCTAACTACTGCTGATCAGAAACACATTCTATTGATAATGAAATGCAAATCATTTTTATATCTTTCTCTACATATATATTTTTTCCAAATGATAACTATTTGTCATTACTGACTGTTTGTTTAACAGTTGTTGTTTTTTTTTAATTTTAAATTATTTATTTTAGGTTTAGAAAATAGATAAACTTTATTCTTTGCAAAATGTAAATGGTTCTTTCTTTTAGTTTGATGGCCTTGTTACACTGTCTCAAAGTGAACTTGATTCTGTTCTGATTGGTTCTGTAACCAATGTCAGCCATTGATGAAATCCTGTAACCAATCAATCAAATCCCTACAAACCAACACTTGAATATGAATGAGATGCTCACTAGCGAATGACCCTATTCAGGTAGGTATTTACCTGGTGTTCTAGTGATAAGTTGTAACCAGTAGGGTGCAGCAGGTTGGGTGTAATGACAAATGCTCGCCGAAGACATTGGCTAGTGGTAGCGTTATGTCGTGAATTGGCAGAAGTTAGAATTCATGTGTGGCCATCGGATCGGGTCCCAGTGGCTGAATGGTCTATGAGCTCACCTTGTAACCAGAAGGTCCTGGGTTTGACTAGTGGCGGTGGGTGCGTACTGCTGAAGAGTCCCAAACTAGGACGAGACAGCTGTCCAGTACTCCCGATGTCAGCTCATGATGAAATCCTGTAACTAATCAAATCCCTACAAACCAACACTTGAACTTGATTCTACTTCTACTGGTTCTTCTTAGTTCCTTTGCGTTGTCAGAGGATTATAAACCTCCTGACCAGAAGCTTTGAATTTCCAGTAAAGAAGTGGAATTGTTCCCTGTTCTGTGGGATTGGACTGCTAGTCTCACATCCAACCTTCACACTTTGAATAACTCAGAAGTTAGCAAAGCAACCTCCTTAGGTAGCCTCACTTCAAAGCTGTACAGTTAATTAGTGGTTTAAATATATAATGTCAATTGACAAAATACGTCAGAGGTTACTGTCGGTCAATAACAAAAAGAAATTGAAGTGTTATGGGATCAGAACTAGGACACTATGATAGAGCATGATTCCGTTACCTAGAAAATTTATTTTGATCAATTCTCAGAGTTATAGAGTACTATTTACTCAAATTGAAGTGGATGAGTAATAACTATGTTTGAAAAATTAAGAATAATCTTAAATAATCAAGAGGACTGACAACTAATTAGTCAAGTGATGAGCAATCGTTTGAAAATAGTTGATGAAAAATAAGAGGATAAAGGACTGAAAATGGATTAGGAAAAGTAATAAAAAGACTACATGGATTATTTAATTCAGTTCCAGATTTTCCCGTCGATTGACGGGACCGAAGTGCTAGGTCTCAAGTTGACATGTTGGCTCCTTGTACAGATGCACTGACGATGTCTAGGCATGTAACTAGAAGTTAATTGTTGGATGGTGACTAGCAGTAGAATGCAGAACGCACATTTTGTCCTGTTTAAGACTAGTCAGTTGGATGTACGTGCATTCCGAAGTGACTGATGGTGTTCCCACTGAGGTTGGTACCCAGTGCCCATAGTTTCAAACGCCAAAGTGTTATCCTCTACACCACTTAGCCCACTTTGAAGTTTAAAACTATGGGCACTGGCTTCGAGCCTGGGCGGGAACAACACCACTCACTGCGTAATACAAGTACATCCAGATGACGAAATGCGCATCCTGGATTCCACTGCTAGTGACCATCCACCAATTAAAGACTTCATAGAGTTCACTATATGGATATTCAATAAAAACAAACAGACCATAGTTGTCAAAAGTAGGACTCAGAACAGTCGACAGCTGAATGCTGGAGCACTTCGTTACTTCTGGTCATGCAGTATCCTCAAAGAATTCTTTGAGAGCCATATATAAAGTACAACCAAGGTGTTCCAAAGGATTTTGTCTACATCTTCTTCGTGCAGCCGAAAATTTAGCAATCCTTAAGGAGAAATCTGGACTTAGTGTCTAGAAATGTTTTCTACAGCCTCTTTTACTACCGTGACCTTAGTACTATTTATCCTATTTTATTTTTCTGAAAAGCCGTATAATAAACTCTAAGTAGTCTTGTTTGTTATTTTCTCAGTACTTTATTCTCTTATTTCTCATCAACTATTTCCAAACTATCATTCGTCACTTAACTAATTAGTTGTCGGTTTTCTTGGTTGCGTAATATTTCTCTTAATGTTTCAACCATAGTTATAGCTTATACACTTTGATTTACGCTTATAACTGACTAACAGTAACCTCTGACCCTTTTTGTCAATTAATATCGCATATTTAAACCCCTAATGAGATTTTCAGCTTAAAGTGGAGTTGCTTAAAGACATCTCTTTGCTGACTTATGTATTCTTAATTACGTGAAATGGAAACTTCCCACTTTTATGAGCTTCCTACTGGCTAGTAAACTAGAGGAGCTGTGGAAGTGATTAGATATGATACATCATGTAATCTTTTAGTTGTATAATTTGTTATCATGAACAGCAAAAACGATTTATAATGAGAAGGAGAGACAAGAAAAACTACGAGGTACAAGGATAGAATTTAGTCACTGTACTAGAGTAAAACTCCACCATCGAATAAGTTTATTTGGTAAAAATACTCACACCAACATCCGACAACAATTCACAGTGCACCACGATGATGAGCCTTCTAGCGTGGCGGCCACACTTTAAACTTGACTGGTAAAATTCTGTCTGCACCAAACGAAGGATTAGGTGCTTGATATTAGTTACTAACTATTGTCCAATCAAATTATCCATTACAGTAGTACAGGAGGTCAGTTACCAGCCAAAATAACTCAGTGGTAACGTCTCTGACCTGACTTTGAATCTCAAAAGGGACATGAGTTCCTTCAAGACTGAAGATACGCCCTGCTGACTGATGAGTACTAACAAGCGTCAACTACCTCCAAACATCTAACAGTATGACTTAATTACTGATCACGTTTCGTAGACAATTTATTACATACAGTCATACTAAGATATTTACATAACTCTTGGATTTCGTTCATATTAGTTCTATTAGTTCTTACGCTCTAATTTTACTGGTAGTAATTTATATCTCTGGTGGTGGCTTTGTGTCATTCCTATTACTCAGGTTATGTGCGGATTTGATGAACAAAGATTCAGTGATAGAACTTCTACCTCCAACTACCCATATTAATTTTCAAAACTGTAGCTCTGTCCCGTCCTATTTTGTGATTGTGTGTTGGTACATGCATCAAGATTGCTAGGAGTTTTTCTAAACTATCATCTGTGTAGATTCAATCATTCTACATTCAACTAAATTTTGATAGTCTCACTACCCCTAATCTAGTGGCCTAACTTATGCAGTCGACTTCACATTCATTTCAAGGTATTTTATAGATTAAATTACTTTGTTTAATTGGGTGAATAGGGCCCTTTAGTCTACAGAGTTTATCCTTGAGTGAGTTTGTAGGTTTAAACGCCTCCCCACTGCTTCAATAAGAATCCTATGTAGGGTTTCTGATGCCCCTTCCTTATATGGCAAAACTGTTGATGCCTTGAATACTTTCTTATTCATATTGTGGTTATTAGTCCCATCACTCCTTTTCCCTTCCTGATGAGCTGTATTGATCTTCCTAATGTTTTTGTGGGATAGATCAACAAACAGATATCATTTTTAGAGATTTCATTCTCAGTAACCGTGCAATTTATAAATATAAGTTTACGCAGTTACAATTATTATTTAGTTCAATGCAATCATAAAGGTAGGATTTGAGGGAGATGGTAATTTTCCAACTTGATATGACAATTTCCACGTATTACGTGAGATGAATATTAAACCAAGTAGATGCGAAAATAAAAATAATACAGGATTACGAATAAAGTTGCGTATTATGCAGAATATTTTCCCCGAAAAAGAGTGGGATAAGAATGCGCATAAAATCAGATTAAAATACTATTTTATAAATGACGATGAAGAGTTATCTGGATGGAACAGGTAAAAATAACCAGAGGAAACAGAAACAAAACAACACTAGATCCGCAGAAGGTGCATAAGTTCAGGTGATTTCTTTTAGACGTATAAATCTGGCTTATCGACGCATACAGTGATGGCTTCTGTAGTAAAAAGAACGTTGGAAGCACACCGTCTTTGACAGATTTCTGTTTACTTTGTAAATTGGTTTGAATGATAAGTGACTTCAAATCTTCTGATGGGTACTGATATGGTGTTCATGTATAGCCTTTCTGACTGTACATGTACCACCTCTTTGAAGTCATGCTCAACATTCTTCTATAACACATTTTGAAACGACGCATGTAGAATAACCTACATACCTGGCTCCACATGAGTAGCTGGGCTGACATGTACACATTGGATTTTTCATGTACTATAGTTACCTCTTTACACCGCTTGGAAGCAATGAATGGCTACAGAATATCACAACTAATGTTGTCGCAAATAAGGTCACCTCTAATGAGTTGGAGATTCTCCTCTTAAACCTGACTGTCGCCAAGTCTCCCCTGACTTCTAGGTTCAATTATCGAAATCTTCCCTCTAGGACTTTGATCCATTTTTCTCTTCACAAACCATTTCCCGTAACCATTTCCGACTTGGATCTTTTCTAGAAGCGATAGCTATTCGTTTAAGAAACCAATGCTGCAGCTTCTTTGAATGATCGGATAAAATGACAAGAACTGTTTTACGACTTAATGGTAATCGATTATCAAAATTCGTTTATTGGCCATTACAAAAACAACACATAACGTAAGGGTACTGTGGTGATTGATAATTTCTATCACTGTATTGTTTAAATACTTACTGTTTTCTGTTAATATTTATTATATGAACTACAAATAATTCCGCCAAATACAAATTCCTAAATTCATTCCTCTCTGTGTTGTTGGTTGATTTCCTGTAATTCGGTCATTGCGAAGTACTACTATTGCAAATAATTATAACAAGTACCATCCCTCACGAAGATGTGCCTAACTTTCCAATATCTAACCGCATACTAGACTACGCAGCATGCGTTCCACCGATAGCTGTTGCTTGATAAATAAAACCAACTGATTCATCTATGCTTTTTAAACTGACTGATATTTCTAAAAGATGGCTTCAAATCAGCTGAGAAGTTAGAAAGTCTGAACGTC